TCAGACTTACCCAAAGCTTTTTATAGCCAGACAAAACTAAACCAATAGCTTATTTTTCATGCTGAATCCTGGCATGAGATATATTAGAGCTGGAGGAGGCCATTTAGACCATTTTCCCTTATATTTTAGATGGAAGTCACAGGAAGACCAAGTGACTTGCTCAGGGACACCACAGGGAGTGGGCTTGTTATCCAATGCACTTCTATTTAGTTTAAAGCTGCTGTATTAGGTCAAGACTATAGAAAAGCTCGCTTTGGTTTTAATTCGTACCTCCCCTAAGTTTAAGTGACTTTTCATTGGCTGAATGGTTGGTGATAGGAGTTTTGGTGAGAAAAAAATCTTCATCTGCTTCACTCCTTGTTCAGTTTTACTTCATCCTTTCTTAAAAGGTCATAAAAGACCTGCTAGCTACACTTTTGAATTTCTAGAATAACTTTGAACCTCCAGAGCCTATGGACATCATCAAGGACTTTGAGAGAGTCATCAGGGCATTTTACCAAAGATGATGAACTCTCTCCTAGAACACTGGATTGCCGTGGGCCCTACAAAAAGTCAGCAATGACCAAGTCTGTGCTCCAATCTTTGCCAAAGACAGTACACACATGGAAACAAAGATTTGCAGCGTCAGCACGGAGCTGGAAGACTGTCAGAAGCCAGCAGCGTGCTGGCCAGTGATGTGTTTATAATAAAGACACAGAAACGGAGTCAATGCTGTTAGGACAATAGGAATGAAGGAAGGAAGGGTTGACGTGATTGCTCCCTTATTGTTAACTGCTGAGATTGCGGCCTGAATATGTTCTATCTCACAGCGCTTGTTGTGGGCCTGCATCTACGGGTACAACTTCCCTCACAGGCACCAGCCTCCACTGCGTCGGTCCAAGCTGCCCATGTACGTCTACCCCATACATTTCAACATAACCTTCCTGACAAATTACAGAAAAGCAGGTGACTAAGTGTCACTTTTATGTCATCATTTGTGCCAAAGCATTTCTGGGGAACATCTGGTGGGGGGTAGGGGAGAGCAGAAAGTACCTGTAAGGATTAGGTTACAACTGTGCAATAAAACCTAAATGTCAGAACTCAGCCTTGAGCTGGGGATACCCAAAGACCAACAACCCCACTGCCATGGCCACAGAGACATTTTTATAGAGCAGGCATTCGACCCACTGGGATTCAGAAGGCTACCTGAGCCTTCTATCCTATGTACACAGACCTTTGTGAGAGTAACAACACTTCCCAAATAGACCAAAGTGTCTAGGTTTTGAGAAGCTTCTAACATGGCTTCCAATATTCTGTTTACCGATAATATGGCAATGAACATCTTTGTCTGAATCTTTTTAAGAATCAAAAAATGCAGTTTCCTGTTACAGTTTACTCTTATCCTAGGCTCTATTCTGCAAACCACTTTGTTTTCCCGTGGGTCCAATTTTAAGGTCTGGAAAAATATTTAATATTTTGGATAATGGGACGAAAACGCTCAGGAAGCTCGCTTATTCTCACTTTAAATCAAGACGGATATCCCTGCACCTGGGGTAGAAATCTGTCTGCTCCAGACAATAACTGGCCTCCGGAGTCACTGGCTTTGGAGGGTAGCGTGCTCTTTAATTACATTAATTGATTAAAGAAAATTTCTTCTTTATTTTCTGGAAAAAGAATATTTTTTGGGGAAAAAAAAAGTGAGGCTTTGGTAAAGAGCCCCACGAAATGGCAGGCGATAGTAAACCCAAAATCTCACCTCCCAAGTTCTCAATTTGTTAAACATCTGGCCTCGCCGGCAGAGTTGGCCCCTGTGCCGAGGAAGCTATGGAAGGTGATTCTCTGTGAGCAGGGTGGGAGGTTTACATTCAGGCTCCTTATCTCGCCTCTCTGATATCTTCAATAGAGGTGTTGTGTTTGCAGGAACATTCTCATAGGCACAGCTTTGAGCTTGAATTTTGATGTTTCCCATGACTTTGGTAGGTGATTACCTAGTGAATTCTGGGGAGACTTCCAGCCCTCAGCAAGGGCAGCTTCAGCAGGACTGGTGAGGCTGCCACTGCTCTGTCCGCATGGCTGGCCTGGGCAGCAGGGGGGTGGGGGTTGGGGAAGACCGCGCTCCCAGAAGGCCGGCATCTGGGGAGGGGGAGCTGGCTCTCAGGGATGCTCATCTGCTGCCCAGATTTCGCTGCTCTGGGCTCTCACTGAGCTGTGCTATCTAAGACGAGTACGCTGAAGGGATGAGAAGACAATCCACAGCAGGGATGATGATCAGGAGAACACAACAACATATTTGGTGCCTCGAATATTCTAGGCACTTCCATGTACCCTCACAGCGACCCCATGGCACAGGTATTAAAGTCATTCTCTGTTTACAACTGAGGAAACTGAGGCCCAAAGAGCTCATGTATCTTCCTCACGGCCACACAGCTGATGGATGACGAGCCAGGTTTCACATCCAGGCAGTATGATTGTAGCTCCTGGCTGTTAACCGCACCACTCCCTTGCCTAAAGGTGATGGCGTGCTCTTTGAAGGCATAACAGCATTCTGCCTGCCAATGGAAAGGCTTCAGCAGCCGTGAGAAAAACCACATGTGTGTTCAGGATCCCTGGGCTCAGGGAAGACACGGAGAGGAAAATGACACAAACCCTGAGAATGACCATGACTCCTGAGAACCTGATAGCGTCACGCTCTCCTAGTCTCCCAGAGCCCCGGAGAGGTGACAATGGAGAGGTGGCACAAGGAAGGCCCCTTTCCATTCAGGAGGCACTTAGAACTTCTTTTCAAAATTACAAGTTCAAAAATTATTGCATAAGTATGAGACAGCATCGGGTCCAAGAACCTTTAGGTGCATGTGGCCAATTATGTTCTGTAAATGCCACCCACCATCACTGTAATCACTGCTCTTCCCACAGAACATGGGGCAACCTGCCTTTCACACTCTTTACATTGAAAAGAAATAAATATGAGAAAAAAGAAGCCAGGAGGCATCATGAACTCCAGAATATATTTCCACTCTCCAGGGTGATGTAAAATAATGCCATTTTGAAAATGGTTAGAATTACTCTTTTGAGGTATAATGTCACTTGGTCGGAAGGAAAAATTCACATGTTGATTGTAAGCATTTGTACCTGTTGTTTTCCGAATCTACCTATGTATGAATTTTATTTGCAATAGAAAAAGCATTTGTGGTTTCCTTATGAATAAGTGCATGCGTGCACACACACACACACACACCCCTATACATTCAGCTACAATACTGTCACACTTCAAATAAAGCTGAGACCCTAAGAATATGCTTAACAATTTCATTGCAGCAGTACACTTATTTTTATTCCACTTCTTTACATATCCTTCTCCAATAAGTTATATAAATGACTGGAATAGCTACAAAAGTTCTCTGTAAACATTTCCTCCAAGTATAAATTATTGGAAGACTGCTTATATAATTTATGAAAATCTTTAGTCTTGTGTCCTTTTAATCTTGGTGAAGCCATCCTACTGACAGAATTCTGCTTTTGCTCTATGCATTAAGGTTGAATTTATTTCTTCAGCTTATCACGAAGAAAAAGAGAAATGAATCTGCACTTTCACATGGATGTCACTTAGCTTCTGCACATACTCACCGAGGCTTAATGCTTCTCTAGTTTTCACTCTTGAGTTTGTCAAAGCTGAAGCTAATCAGGGCAATTCTCTCCATTTAGTTCTGGTGGTGTTTTGATAACATTAAGTTTATCATAAAAAAAGTTCTTATTCCTTCTAATGCTTTGATTTCTTGAGTATTGTTTAACGCACACACCTCTCTCCCCAACCATGTGCTGGAAACAACCACAATTTATAAGAATTTTAGGCACCACATGATTCAATTATTTTTTCTCTTACTGCTCTCTATTCTGGTGTTTTTATCCACAACATTTTGGGCTAAATGACCTCAGCATTATAAACGAACAAGTGTTCCCATCGCCTCTCTGTCCTGGCTGCTGAGGAACCTCCGGATAGGACTGCTGAAAGGAAAACCTTCAGGAACGCCTTTGTATCTACAGAGATGATTGACTGGAAGAAAAATATGACCTGTGATTGTCACCTGTTGTGCAGAATCACGGAATCTTAGATTTGAAGGAGCCTGAGGAGGTGAAGTCTTCCATTTCTCCCGCCCGTGCTGCTACTACCCAAGGGGAAGGCGCCACTACAGGACCTACAGGGCTGTTTTAATGGCTCCCAATGTCTTTGTACTTCCACTCTTTTTTTTTTATAATATGTTTTTATTTATTTAAGAGAGAGAGGAGGAAAGAGAAACATTGATGAGAGAGAACTAGCAATCGGCTGCCTCCTGCACACCCCGCTGGGGATCAAGCCTGCAACCCAGGCATGTGCCCTGACCTGGAATCCAATTGCAACCTCGTGGTGCATGGGGTGATACCCAACCAACTGAGCCACACCGGCCAGGGCATGTACTCCCACTGTTGCTCCCTTCCCACAATTTCATTTTCCACAAGCAGCTGGGCTCATCTTTAAAAAACGTCAGTCAGATTTCTGTCCATTGATTAAAACCCTCCAGTGGCCCCAGTGATTTAGACCACAATCCAGACTTCTGCCCAAGGGCGTAGGAAGCCTCGCGCCCTGGCTCCTGTCCCCTCCCTGTCCACCCTGCCACAGCCACCGGGCTTCTGTGAGCTCCTTCCCCCCTCAGGGCTTCTGCTTAGACTGCTCTCCCTGATCCTCTGCCAACCTGGTTTCATCCTATCGCACAGGCGCACCCTCCCCTCACACCAACACTCCCACTTCACTCTGTTTTATTTTCTTTCCAGTTCAAAATGAGGGAGGAGCTTTTATGGGCGTGTTGGACTGTCCTGAGCCAAAGGTCAGCAACATCTGGCTAATCAGTGTTCAGGATGCCTTCTGGGTGCCTTCCAGGCGCCCTGGTATGCCTCCCCCAGTCCCCCCACCTGCTTGCCAGCATCCCCACCACCAGAACAAAAGAAAACAGATCTCTCCTTCAAAGGCAGGCGAAGCAGCCACTTACTTATAGTGGACCCGGACTCAGGCCTGTTCAGGGAGCTGATGATGACGAAGCCGAAGCCTTCGTTCTCTTTCCGGTGAATGACCACGTCGCTGGTCTGCAGGCTGTGGGACGCGAAGCCTTCCGGGGGAGAGGCGCTGCCACTGGGGGCAGCGTGGTTGCTGTTGGTGTAGGTGGCGTAGTCACTGCGTGGAGAGCTGTGGTGGGTTGATACGGAGCCTGGGCTCCTCCCGTTCTCTGGGCAGGGCTCCCCTGCAACAAGGGAGAATGCAGGCGCTTGGTTATTTAACAAGGTCTGGGGGAGTGCCTCCTGTGTACCAGGCACAGCTCTAGATACCAGCATTGTGACCAGACTGGTTGACTGGCTTCTATTCCCCCCAGAATTGCAGAGCCCAAACCCCTCAACTTTCCTAAGTGCTGCTCCCTGTTTGCATTTTCCCCTTGTTAAGACTGCAGCCCCGCAGGACAATGTCTAGTTAGAGACAGCGGGCTTCTTAGTTGCATAATAATAATTGATCACAGAAGATCATAAAACAAGTGGACAGGTTCTTCAATGGTACTGTGAACACGAATTACTTAAAGAGCTTGTGAGAACTATCTTTAGAGTCCACACATGGCAAGTTTTTTCAGTAGATCTAGGGAAGACTGGGCACAGGAGTCTGCCTGCAGGTTCAAGGTCAGACTTCGAGAACTGCTGCTGTAGGAGTCTTGGAAGTGGGGTTAACAGCCCAGGGGGTGTCTTTGTAAAGTGACCTATCATCATTTTACCAAGGAGCCATGGTTTTATTTAATTTTATGATATTCTGTTAGCCTAGATGTGTTCACTTCCTGCAGGTAGGAAATATCCTTCTTAAAGTAGTTTGCTTACTCCAGGATCTGACAATGTTACCAGGCTAAGGAGCAATGAGTTTTGAATCATTAAGGGAAGTGTTGGAGGCCTGGCTCACTTACATTCTGTATTGTTAAAAAATAGAATCTATTATCAATCAGATAAACCAAATCACTACTTTCACGAGAAAGCAAGCAAGCATATTCACAGAGAGAAGTGATAGACAGTTGGCAGCCAAGAGAAGCTAGTTTTTAAAATGAAAGTTGATCTGTCATCTAGAAAGGATTTTGTCATTTTAATTTAATACCTAGGTGATGGTATCTTGATTAAAAGAGCTGACATGGCACCTAGAATACTGTAATTAGAAATAAAGCTGTTTCATCTCCATCTTACAATTTAATTAGTGTACTCAAAAGACGTTATGGAACAGAGGAATATGGAAAAGAGTCACAATTAATGTTTTTTTTTTGGGGGGGGGTTGCTAGATATGGTCTCCTATTTAGAAGTCTGGAAAGTGTCTTGTTAAAAATAATTGGCAAAAGCTCCAATGAAAGACCTTAACTTTACAAGCTGCAATTCCATTCTGAAATGGAAAAATTAGGGAGAAAGAACAGACTATAAGAAAGGTTCTGTGGAATACTATGCTGCTGTAAAAAGGAAGGAATTCTTACCATTTGCAGCAGCATGGATGGAACTGGAGAGCATTATGCTAAGCGAAATAAGCCAGTCAGAGAAAGAAAAATACCTCATGATCTCACTCATTTATAGATAATAAAGAACATTATATACTGATGAACAAAAATAGATGCAGAGGCAGAGAGGCATCACATAGACTGTCAAACTACGGCGGGAATGTTGGGAGGGTTGGGGGGGAGGTGAGAGATCAACCAAAGGACTTGTATGCATGCATATAAGCATAACCAATGGACGCAAGACACTGGGGGCGGGGGAGTGGGGAGGGCAGGTGATGGGGGGGAGTGGTGGCTGGGGGAAGGTCAATGGGGAAAAAAAGGAGACATATGTACTACTATTTGTAATACTTTAAACAATAAAATATAAAAAGCAAGGTTCTGTTACACAGATACCTTAAGGAAAAGAAGCTGCATTCATTCATACACCCAGATTAAAAATGGCCTTATGAAAAAGCATTTACTTCTTATTTGTAATTACTGAATAAAATCTAGGCTGCTGCTTATTATCATTTGATAAATTTGATTCTGGGGTAAGATTCAATTAATCAGGCTTTAATAGAAGGAAACAAATGGATGCTTTTCATCTGTAAGAAATGTAATGAAGTCACAAAAGAACAAAATGTCAATGTCAAAGCCTTTCCCTCTTTTCTATCAAATTAAAACTGCCTGTAAAATGTACCCTCTCTGCTAGAAAACATCATCCAAAGGCGCACAGTTATTGTCTTGGTGAAGCACATGTCCTTTATCAGTCCTTCTGCGCGTTGGAAATAAAGTGATTAGAGATAGTCAGGAAGAAGAAAAACAAACAAATTATTATGCTGCAACATTAAATTGAAAATCTCCCTGAGTTATTGGACCAAATCAGTAACTAAATGTCATAGGCAGTGACAAGAGAGATCTCATTTTCTGGCTGTCATATTTTAGGGGGTTGAGATCTTGGTTGTCAGTAAAGCAGCAACAAAGAAAAATTATCTGCCTTTGCAATAAATGGCTGGGAGTGGCTATGCCTCAGGTGTTAGGGAGAGAAAGGAAATCAGGGACTAAGTCAACATGAGTGGTGAGTGGCCCCTGGGGAATTACATTAACAGGATACTTTTCTATTGCTGTTGGACTTCCCTGTCAATGTCTAGAACCAAGTTCTTCATCTTTAACAACATGAACACATTTAAAGCCAGGGAGTTAAGACTTCCAATGATTGATTTTGAGGGATAGAGTTGACATCATTTTTTTCTACTCAGCTGGCTCTATGTCCAAATGAGACTCTTCTCTCCAACAACCCTTCCTGGTGTAGGGCATGGACATCATTGTTTTAGAATATAATGCAGTAAAATGTCACAGAGTGACTAAATGCCATGTGCATTTTTTCAATTCACTAACTTCCTGACTCATCTTCTTGTCTCACATACAAATGAATGTACAGAATTCAGTCACTTAGTACCTATGTAAGTCAGATAATCAATTTTTGCTTCTGTTTTGTCCCAACCAGTTATACTGGAGATCATCATTGGCTGACTGGGACAGGGTCTCCATTGGGAAAGGCCCTCCAGGTGAGATGTTTTGACTAGAACAGTTGGTTCCTGTCTAGCAGACCCAGTTATTCCAGGCCAATAGTTCTTAGAGTTAATTGTCAATGTTGTAAAATAGGCAGATTTTACAGAAATCTGGATTTCCAGTTTCTCTTGAAATACTTGGTAGTGATTACTAGAGCTGGGGTATATGGTTTGCAAGTCATCACAGTCCCAACTATTCCCCAATGTCTCTTGCAAATTTCTGAACCCATAGAGTGAGGGGTACGCAGAGCCAGAGGGACTCGTTCAGCTGGAGGCGTTGTTTCTCTTCTAGATCACACCGTGGTGCCAGGACTCCAGGACCCTGTCACCAAACAGACCTTGCCTGCTTCCGGGGTATACTGGGCCTTTTTTTAAGGACTGTCCCCCAGAGGATGACAGCACCGCAGATGCACATGTCTTGTGTTGGAGCATGGCCAAGGCAGTGGGGTTTGTATGTGGACAGAGCGTGGACGTGGGGGTTGGAGTGTCCACATGCATGTGCACCTTCAGGGGCCTGATGGGGCAGGGCAGCCACAGGCTGTGGCCGTGCTGTCAGGAGCCGGCCTATCTGCAAGCACTTGTGTTGGTGCACTCCTGGTTTACACTCACCGAGGCAGACAGCTTATTCAAATGGGTGACATGCTGGTAGATAAAGAATAAGAAAATGTATTTTGAATTGACAAAAAAGTGTAGTGACTATGACCAGGGAATCCACCGGCTCCCTAAACACTGGCTAAACTTCCCACCCCGCTGTCAGGAAAACCTTCCCTTTCTCGGCATCAGGACAGGAATTGGACGGTCCCGTAGATGTTGGAGAAGATACTGGTAGCTTTAAGGCGGACTCTAATATGTTTTGATTAAGTCATAAAACGTTCACATCAGTTCTAGATTTACACTTTAGGAAATTCCTCAGAGACACCCTTCTCTCAGACAAATAGTGTGGATTCAAAATAATGTGTCATTAGGGTAAACATCTCAAACTGAGCTACTAAAGATATAAATGTTTACCTTTCAGTGGAATAATTAAAGGGACTCTTCTACTATCCTTGGGAAAAAAACAACTATCAGATCTGATGGCATAAGTAAGACATCTCTCAAAACCCGTTTAGGCGCAAGATCTGTGCTAAAATTATCCGGTAAAGAAAACTGGATACATTGCTGCATATTTCCTTCCTTTACTCCACATTTTCTCATTTTTGAGGATCTAGCTTACCATTGCCCAATTGAAAATATTGCCTTTATATGTGCCCTCTTTTCTGTATTTTAATTGTATGCCTTCTTATATTTCAATATTTGGAGCAGGTTTTTGTGTTATTTAATTTTTGCCCAGTGTAACTCACCATCTGTATCTTTCATAATGGATGTGTTTTGTCTTGAGCATCAACTAGGAAGCCAGTGCCCAATGTCTTCTGAGGTGGGCAAGACAGCCGCAGCAAGCCTACGGCTGAAGGGTATGATCTGTCTGACCTCCCTTCCTCCCAGCTTCTTCTCTATAATGTTGCTCCTTTGTGCAAAGAGGTGGCAACACTGCCCCTCTTCTTGCTCATCTTCTGTCTCTTCACAGCTGATTGCTTACTTTCCTTCAGCTTTCAATCATCTCATCATATGCCAGGCTTGTACCTCCCACTGCCTTTGCTTAGGAAAGCGAAATCATAATGATAACAACAACCCTTGAAAAGGCATCTCCACTGTCATCTGTAGTTGTCCCTTCTCACTGTTAAAGAAATGCCACTATGAGGAAATGCTGTCTTCCTATGTCTTTTACAAAAATCTATTTCCAGGCATTTACTTTACTATCAAAGTATCCTTTGCTGAACTTAATCATTTTCAATACTGATGAAGCTTTCAAGGAAGAGTGGGCTGAATTAACTTGGAAGCTCTCCTGGTGAGAATGAGCAGTCTGCAGCAGAACTTCAAAAATTAAATGCACTTGAAATGCACTTCAAAGCCTAAATGAGTAAAATTGGTAAGAACTGCAGCAAAGAGCATCTTTACGGAAGTCACATGATCCACAAATTGCAAGAATACATTTTTGCAGCGTTTGGCATACACTCCAATAGCTTGGGTTGATTAGAGCAAAATTTAATTTGCAATAATCAGCTGGTGGCAAGAGGAGCATGAAATTATGTTGGTGCACTGGTTTTGCACTTTGCAATGTATTTCCTTGTAAACCAGGTATCTTTTTAATTTATCTTTGGGCTACAGAACATATAGCACAGCAAACTTTTTATTGAAAATCACTCTGTGGGGAGAGAGACAGTTAAATATTAATCAAGAAAACACTGTCTTCCTTCTGGCACCTTGCCCAAGAATGAGGATAATTCAAGGTGTTTTACTTCTTTGGGTCAAGTGGTATGGCAGGAATTTCTGCAGATGAATGACACTTCTTAGCAAAGTCTCTGTGTGAGATATATAGCAGTCTCTACTGGTGAGGGCTGACAGTTCTTCTGACTTGCCCTTTTAAATGATGACCCTTGCTCCAACTCTAGTTTCTAGAAGACGCGAATAGAAAAGGATTTTTTGTTTGACTAATAAACTTTAGCCTCTTGAATCATGCACAGCCTGTGATTAGCCAGTGGCCCTTTTAAAATTCAAATATGGTAAAATAATAACACCTATGAAGGACTCCTTCTCCTTATGTTTGGAATGACATTTGCTAAAGGTTGGTTTAACGTCTTTGCATTCACCGGGGATGGAGATGGTGAGAGAGTGAAGAGGGGACTGAAATGGTATAAAAAATAAGTCCTAGCCAGGGAGGTGAGTCTGCATCACCGCTGACTCTGTAGACTACTGGGCAGGCTGCTGTGCCTCTGGTCTCTGTCTTCTCATCTGTCACCTGAGGGAGCTGCTGTTGCTAAGGGCCCTCCTAAGTCTAGCATTCATCATTCTGTACAAGGAACAGTCAGGAGGCTGAGCAGGAAGCCAGCAGGTCACGGTGGCAGGGGGTGATAAGATAATATTGGTGCTGCCGTTCCTGTGATCTCTGGGGCCAAGCACAGATGGTGTGGGACTATACTCCCAGTGCTATTGCATGCTCGGGTTACAAGAAATAGCGTAATGCTTGTAACAGACACATTCCTTCAAATATAAACATCTTTTGTGGAGCTGAGATGGTGAAGAGAGAAACTGAATCACATTATGGCTCCGAGGACTGACTTTTGAAAATATCTTTGGTGGATTCTTTTCTGAAGTTGGAAAAATGGAGGTAAAGGGAATAATTACTTCTAATTTATCTGTTTCATAAGTTTGGAGTTATATGAATTGTGTTTGCTCAAAGTGACATACAGCTATATTTATGTAAATCAGGGTAATAATTTTATTGTTACTTTTTATCAGGCTCTACAATGGAAGCTAATTTTCCATCCTTGTTGCCTTATTATGTTATCAAAATGCTGTGGTTTTTGGTTTGTAAACACAATGAGGAACATTTTCAAAAGCCCTATTTTTCACTGCTATAATGTTCTTATAGCTAGCGTTACCAAAGAGCAAAGAGCATACACATCTTGAATTAGCTCCAGGCTTTGCTAGGAAATTTTGATGACTGCATTGAAAATGCAGGCCTCAAAGGCTGCTTGGAATGGTACCACTGGGGTGAAAATCTGCACTTTCAAAATCAGTTACATTTAGAATATCTAGGTTGTTTTTTCCTCTCATATAATATAGACACGGATTTAAAATTTTGTTTCAAACATCTTTAGCATGTCTCACAAAAACATCTTCCCACCTCACCTCCAACTCTTGCTGCTGCCTTGAGTTACATACCTCCACATAGCACCTTTCTTCTCACAGTGAGGTTGACCTGCCCGTTCCGGGCTGCGTGGTGCATAAGGTCGATGACATAGCGGTGGGTCTTGCCCGCCACTGGGATCCCATCGACATAGACGAGCTCATCTCCAGGGTGTAGGCGGCCATCTCTGTCGGCTGAGCCCATGGCAATGACGGCTCCAATCAAAATCTAAAGAAGCAGTGAGAAGAATAGGGCACATATGTTTCAAACTTTTTATATACATGTAAGTATATAAAAACTTGGTGGGAGATTTTATTTCCACATTTTATCCCTTGCTCTAAACCTGATCATGTACTTGAAAAATGAGAGGCTAAAGGGGCGCCCTTCCAACTCTTCCAGGTTGCTACCTCCTTCTAGAGAAATAAAAAATATATATACATATGAAAAAAACTCTGATAAGGTTCAAAGTATGTTTTGTTTGTTTGTTTGACTTTGAAAAGCGGAAGGTAAATAAAATGAAGCAAAACTCATAGCTGGCTTTTCCTAGCTAGTTGACTTAAAAAAATCTCAGTCAAATCTTCTCCAGATTTCGCTTCCTTCCTTTAATGCTTCCCTCGAGCACCATCCTCGGCACAAAGGACGTTCTAGCCCTGCCTGTCCCCTAAAAAGCTCTGCTGCTTAGGTGGCTACCATGCCAGGAAACGAGGAGGTACATCTGGGAATGTGCATTTTAGTGTAATTTCCTGAACTAGGGAAGGCGATGACAGGCATAAAGTGAGAGTTCCCACTTCCCATTAGAAACACTCAACTTAGTGCCCATTCATAACGCTTTTATCTTTCGCAGAGGAAAGATAATAGTACTTAGAATTTTAATTTTGCTGTTTAACCTATAAACAATTTTTCTAACTCATGAACAAAAGACACCCTTTTTCTTTTGCCAAGTGGCTTAGCCACACAGCATCTAAAGGCAGTAGTTACCATTAGCCTGATAATGTTACAGAGCCTATATTCTAGGTTTCATTTTAAATCTTTATTAAATGGCCCCTTGCTCACAGATTGATTTCTTTCAGGTTCAAGAATTTCTTTCAAATCCCAGATCTGTGGATTCCAGCTAATTGGCAGAGTTGCTGCATTGTGACCTGCAGGCTCCATGGCCTCGGGCTGGCAGCATATCCATTCCTTCTGCTTGGACCCACTGCTCAGTGTGGCCTGCCAACATGGCAACCAGACCTTGATGCCCAGGATTCTCAGGTATATGCAAAATTATAGTCTGAAGAGTTTTCTTTTTCCTTCGGTCCACAGAGGAATGAAAATTCCCCATCACTGCCACTCCTTTTCATGTATTCCTGGAGGGTGAATTGAGGAGTAGATTTACTTCTATGTTGAATAGTAGTGCTCCGATGAGCGGTTCATTACTGATCTCACAGGAAAGGCCTCATATGCCGACCTTAGATTGGCTGTGCAGGGTGGTTTTGTGTCCGCTTGCTTCTGACATTCTCCATTTTCCCTTATTGTCATGCCAACCTGAATTGATGAGTTTCTTTTTGAAGGTGTTCCAATCTATTCTTCAAAAGTCTCAACCCACTAAGGAGCTTTTCAAAGATTTGCTAAGTGCTTTGTGCAAAACCAGTTAAAATGAATGTTTATGTTTCTCCACTGCCCGTGAAAAGCTGCACTTACCCGGGTTACCTAAAGAAAATGCTTCACCTCCAGGTTTCCTGTATGCCACAGGGGAGGGTTTATAGGTGGTTATGGAAAATACATGGCCTGTGAACTTCCCGGCTGGGTAATTATCAACTTTAAGCTATAGTTTTGATTCTAACTGATCAAAGCGAATCAGGAAACAGGTTACAACGGAGGGAGCCACAGCTGCAACTGGGCCCTCTACAAAGGTTGTAAAAATAAATTTCACATTGGAAAATTCCTATTTGCTGCTAAAGGAAAACAGCAAAGATATACAGATACCCTTGAAGTTATCTTCTGTGCTCTTAGCTTCACATCATCTTTTACCAGGAAAATCCCAGTCAAGCTGCTTTTCTGCGGTATTGCAATGGAATGAGGTACTCTCCTCTCTAATTAATTCATTAATCCGGCAAATCTTCATTGAGCCTAAGGACACTTTTAGGTGCCAGGAATCCAGCAGTGAATAATACACAAAAGTCCTGCCCGACAGAGCTTCCATTCTAGTGGTAGGACAATAATAAATATAATAAATGTGTGGCTATGTTACATTTAGCAGGCATGTAGTATGGGAAAATACAGCAAGGTCAGGTGGTGGAAGAGTGTCTGCCACATGGCTGAGGTGGTGCTGGAGTTGATTAGAGCAGGTCTCAGTGAGAAGTGGACATTTGAGCAAAGACTGAAATTCAGTCACATTTTTAAAAAATGTGAAACTTGAATCTTCCACCTTTAGTTTGTTGGATCAAATATGATATATATACTTCTAAATAAACTATGTCCAATTAGTACTTCAATTGAATATCTAAATAAACTGTATGTATTCAATATAATATTTCAATATGTAATACTGTATAATTATTCTATGTATACATATTACTATATAATTGCATTATATAATCCATCCTCTATCTTGTTTCAGAAAGAGTTTGCCAGCACCATTAAACAAGCTATAATCGAGCTGGGCATGGGGAACTGGAGAAGGCAGCAGAGCTGCTTGTCCTGGGACATATGTATTAGTTACATTCGCTCATTCCGCCAGGAACCTCCACCTTTGCTGGGAGCAAGCTGGCCACATGCGCGCACGGTCACTTCTGGCTGTCAGGCGGCTTTGCTCTTAGCCTTTGGCCCTTTGCACCTTCATGCATTTTATTTCACTGCGGACACAGAGCCAGCTCTGTGTGTCCCTCTATTCAGGGAAAAATCCACAGTGCTTTCTCTTTATTTTCAATATACTTTATTTTGAATATGTTTAGTTTCTTTCCTGTCTGCCACTGTAACTGCAGGTAACTGCAGGGACTAGATAATCTGTGATTCCTTTCTGCACTGTAATTCATATTGGCTTCCCAATGTACATACCGTGTTCATTTAAGCTCTTGAAAACATGCCTCAGGGTACCTGATCCCTTGTCAGTAGTTCTCAAAGTCTGGGGTGTATGTGAATCACCCAGTGAGTTTGCTAAAACAGACTTCTGGACCTCCCTTTGAGAGCCTGATTCTGCAGGCCTGGGGTGGAACCTGAGACTCTGCATGTCTAACAAGCTCCCAGGGGTTGCTGGATGCTTCTGGTCTGTTATCACACTTTGAGCAGCAACATTCTGAGTATTCCCACTTGGTCCAATGGCCAGAGGTTCTGTGGTCTCACGGTCATGTTCCAAGTCTGCTGAAGGGCTCTCCCTCTGGTGCCTCGCCTCAACTTCCTGCCCGGCCACACTGGTCACTTTCCAGGTCTGCTGAGGGATGCCCCCTTGAGTGCATGGTCTGGGCTCCCTGACCCATCAGGCTACATTTTCCTTCTGGGCTTTCTGACCGAGCCTTCCCAGCCAACACTGGCCTTGCTCCTTCTGGCCTCAACGTATTCTTCAGCCTCTGCAGACCCCTAGTCCCACTCATTCGCTTTCTCAGTGTTCCTGGAGGAGTTCTTTACCCTGCCTCTATTGCTTCGGGTCTGAAGGAAGAGCTTTTATGGCAAAACAGACCAATCCTCCCCTCCACCCCCATACACACACACATTGAAAGAACAACTCACCCATGGCCTTATCTTTCCAATTGCCTTCTCTAAAAAACAAAAGAATTATAAACAACTCTACAACTCCAATTTGTTTTACAGGTTGTGAGGACATGGAACAAAGCAGAATGTTTGATATGAAATAATAGCAATTCACATTCAAGTGTCTGCTATCCCAGTAAGTCAGGGGCAAAAATGAATACAAAAAAGAGAACAAAAACAAATAGCAAAGAAATGAAATGAAAGCCACCTTTGCAGGCCTTTTAATTCTTTCCTGCCCTACCTCATGCTAGTCCAATCCCAGCGGATCTGATCTGCAACAATCATAGCCCAGGACAACTTGTTCTCCCCCCCCCCCCAACAAATGTGCCCCCGACTCCTGTACCAAGGAGGGTGCCTGTCATGACCTCGCTCTTTCGTTAACAGTTCTCCTCCACCCAGGCCTTTCTCCGCTGCAGTGTTCCCCGAGTCCCTCCATCTTGATGTCTTTCCATCTCTTTCCAGCTCACAGGTGGAAACCTCAGTTTTGTTCCTTTCTGGCACTTTTTCATTTCTTTCTCTTTCTATTGTTATTTAACTGTGAAAAGTATTTCCTCTTGCAGGAAAAATGCCCATATGCTTTGTCTGAGCTGGAGTCCCGCTGTGCATTATTTGCCATAAGCGGTGTTGTCGTGTTTAATGTGCACCCTGAGATGTCAATACCATTGCGTATATATGGAGGCCCAAACCCATTTGAGGTAATTTAGGAGACCTCCTGTGGTTGGGGACCAAGTCACCTCCCGTGCCTCTCCCTTTGTAGCCTGCCAGCAATTAAATGAGGCGAGCGCATTTTGTGTGCGGATTATCTTTGGACTTAAAATGGAGGAAGGCAGGAAGGAAGGGCTCATGCGAAACCTTTACTGGAGACTCGCTCTTCCTCCTATGGTCTTTCTGAGGTGCAGTACTCTGGTCTTCAAGACATTACTTTCGGGCTTTGCTGGCTTGAGGGGGATTTAGGCTTCGACTTTATGGCTGGGCTGTCAGAATTGCAGCTTGTAGCCTGAGTGTGTCTTAAATCATTTGAATGAAAGAATAAGCCAGAATAAACCTAGATAAACACAACATGGATAACCAGCAAATCCATGTAATCGGAGGAGGCTTATCGTAAATACTAGATGCCTGCCCACTAAAGGTAGAAAGGTGTCCTGGGGCTGGGTGGTGACCATGGCTGCATTCACACACCTGAGCTTCCGTTAGAGCAATATGTGCTCCATTTGGGTATCAATTCTATTGAATCTGTGCTGGGCTAAGTTCAGCGAGAACTCTCCCTTCCTGAGCTAGCTGAGACGAGGCCTTTCCTGTGACTGGCATGTAAGCCCCACTGCTTGTGGGGAGGGGGAGACCAGTGAAGACAGTATTTCCTGAATGTGGTGCTAGTTTATCCCCAAAGCAGACTATGAGGCTATGGGGAAGCCCAGCAATGTAAGAACTGTGCATTGAAAACACTGCATTGAAGTAAGCATCACAGGGAGAATGGAAACGTTCTTGTTTTTCCCTTACATTTATGTGACAACTTAATCTTTCATTTGTATTTATATGGAAGAGAAGGAACCCAATAATATTTTCAGTGGTAGGGCCAATTAAAACCATAATCTGGCCCTGGTTGAAGAGTCCTTTGGTGCAAAGTATTCACCTTTCAATTTTTTTTTTCCTATCTAATCTTCTGGGAAGGGAGTTTCAGAGATAATAAACAAAATAAATAACACAGGCATTACGGAGTTTTGGGAACTGTGGCCATGCTTAGCCTAAAACTGTCCACTGCTTAGCTCCAGCCAGTTGTCATGGAGAAAGGCAAGCTTAATGTTGCCAGATGTATTTTTCAAGAGAGGGTAGAAATTTGAATTTTTAAATGTGTGAGATTAGTTGATGCATAGCAATTTTAAAGCGCTGGCAGAGCTAAACAAAGCATGCTGTAGGGCCACCAGGACACATCCCTACTTCTAAGGATTAGGTTATTTTAATTCTACATAGCCTGCTGGATTAGAAGCCTCAAAATATGTATACTCCAGATCATATTTATTCTGACAAGCTCAGGCGACAGTTTCGGTTTGGCTAAGAGGACTCTCTTAAATTCCAATTAATATTCACTTATTGTGCCAGGCTTTCTGCTAGGCTTGGGAGACACAAACACCAACAAAACACAGGCCTGCCTCCAAGGCTCACAGATTGGTAAGGGGAAGTGTGTCAGTCAGTGCGCCCTGGAACAAACAGGGACCTCATCTTTCTGGTGGTGACCCCTTAAGTTGTTAAGTTTGAGGCATTATGTTAGTTTGAGTACAATGGATTCTATATGGATTTAACCTTAAATGCTCGACAAAAGTCTCAACTATCACACAGTCTCCCACAAAATGCTATCAAAATCACCTTAGTTTTAGTTTGGACATAGTTTTGTTTCCTTCATTTGGTATTTTCATGTTCTGCATATGGCTGTGAAATAAAGAATTTGGCCTCAGTCCAAAGAGAGGTCTGGCCTTTCCTGAAAGGTACCCCTATACCCTTGGACCAGGAGTATCTTAGTTTCCATGGTGAGCTCTTTGGGCCATACCTGAGAGTTTAGACTAATGAGGAGGCTCATGGTGGGCACCTGATATAGGTTATGCTAAGGAGATGACTCAGGGTGGAGCCAGCCATACCAACAGTCTTAGGGTGGGAACGGACGATGCCAGAACAACCAGCCATGTAATTAGAGAGTTGGGACTTTGAGCCACGTGATAGCAGCCTGACATTCTAAAAGGTTGAGCTCAACCACCTAGGCGATGATTCCATCAATCATGCGCACATAATAAAACCCCAAACTCAGGACACAAAAACTTGGGTGAGCATCCCTGGTTGGCAATATTGAGTGGATGGATGCTGGGATGGTAACACGATCCTGAGGAAGATGGAAGCTTCACATTTAGAACCCTCCAGACTTGGTCCTATGTTCCTCTTCTTTTGGATGATTCTAATTTGTTCTCATTCACTGTAATAAAACTGTAATCCTAAGTATAGCACTTTCCTGAGTTCTGTGTGTTGTTCTAGTGAATTATTGAAACTGGAGAAGGCCGTGGGGACCCCCAAATTTGTAGCTGGTGTCTGAACTGAAGGTATCATAGAGATTCTTCCCTCAGCTTTGCAATTTAGAGAACTGAGATCTCAACCTGGAGTTTGGCTAACTGGGTAATGTCACATTTTTCATTTATGGGGCACTAAAGGGTAATAAAAAAAGAAAAGATGAAGTCCTGCTTTAAAGGAAGTTAAAATCCCACTAATTAAACTAAATGGGAAGCCTATGAACATGTTAGAGAGCAATCAGGAGCTAAGTCAGAAAGGAATCCTGGAGAGGCCAAGAGGTTAAACGTTTAGTATATGAAGGAACTGGATACTATTTTCAATTCTACAGATTGACTAAGATGAGTTATAGGACAGCCTGGTGCCTGCCAGAGGGGCAGGGATGGAAGGAGACGAGCCTTTGTGTGGTGAGCACACAATGCAACAGACAGATGGTGTATTATCGAATTGTGCGCCTGAAACTTATATGATGTTATTACCCAATTTTACCCCAATAAGTTTGACAAAAGAGAAAGATGGGTTATAGGGAGGAATGATTTCCCCAGAGCCTCCCCAAATTCCCAATATTGTGCCAACTGAAGCTGACTTTGTGAACATCTCATGGTAACCTCTTAATTCGAATCGGGTTGAACTTCTGCAGCATTGAGCTTGCTCTGGCTTCTGTTTATCACGGTGTTTTCTCTCCCGCGTGGTTTTGATTGAAAACACACACAATTCTGTTGTTCCAAGTCATCTCTTCACACGTATCTTCTGTCATATTGCATGTGTGTTTACCTGTGAGTTGCTGCCCAGAGACCAGTGGTTGGTCCAACACAATTAAGTAATTGAAATATTCAAGAACAAGTTAAACTATTCTAAGAAAGAGTAATGTCCCTTTCTTAATATAATGTGCACTGGCGGTGTGTAGGCATGGAAACACTGGCATATTCTGAGAACTTAAATACCAAAAAAACTCCCCAAACCTCAATGCTTTTATGTGCATCTTAAAAAATTTCCTTTCAGATGTCATTCACAGTGATAGTTCCTCTGATGCACACATACACAATATAGCCCAAAGAGTGGACATAAAGAAGATTCAACTTACAGGCTGTCCAGGCTCATCTCCTCCGAGAATTCTGAAGCCAAATCCAGACTCCATCCTACGAAGATGAACATCCAGCTCCTTATAGTCTGGACCTGGCATAAAGGAGATCCCATGAGTACTGAATCCTGCCTCCTCCCCACCCCCCGACGGACTGAACACACCAATGATAAAGTAATTTTGTGGCTATGATTAATGCATGGAGAATAAAAAAAGTATGGAACCAAAAAGTGGGTATTCCAAAATTAGTCAGTCTGAATTAACAGTGACCAGCCAAGGCAGAAAGAGCACACAAATTTTCTGGGTGAAAAAAAAAATGATGCCTCTATCATTCTTTATTTTTCTGAGAGCATTCAGATTATCCTTAAGATTGGCTGTCACTTTGAGCATGTTTACTCTGACTCGAATGATTATTTTAGAAATATGAGAGAACAGATGGCAACATCTTGGAACTACCTAATAAAGTTTACCTAGTAATTGACTAATATTTGTTTATAACTTGATGCATTCAGTTTAGTGTGTGTGTGTGTGGGGGGGGGGAAGGGGGACAGAGAACGGGTTATAAAATAATGCCTAGCAAAAGTCATTTCTTTTAAAATTGTAGCAGTTAGAAAATGTAGAATTTAAACTTTTCTGTATTGAGGTTTGAGTAAAGTTTTTATTTTCTGACTAACTCCTTCAGGTTTTTTAAAATTCAGGGGTAGAAATTCACCTAGTTCTAAGTGGACTCTTAACCTTCAAACATTTTGACATGTGGAAGCCATTAGTAGATTCACTATTGACTTCATTAGTGGCTTCAGAGTAAACTACAAGAGGATACTTTTTTGCAGTTAGCTGAAAGAATAGAAATATACTGAAAAATAAGCTGGGAAACTCTCTCGAATGTCTTTTTTTTTTCCAACTCTATAATAAATAAACTAAAACTACAAGAAATCTTTTGACTATTTAAATATAATTTATGCTTTTCCCCATCCCCTGGACCTTTGAACCTTCCTCAGGGTTCAAACCTTCCTCACGACCGAGTTGTACATACATACTTTCATGGTCACTGTTAGGATGTCAATGGATGAGCAGCAACTGTGGGGAACACTTCATGCCATCCTTGGCTTAAGAAGTATTTAGTGATCTCTGGCCTTAATAGTTTAAAGGAGATATCAGAACTTAATATTTGATAGAAGCAAATATTAAGTTAAACTCTCCTCGCTTAAACAGGATGGTTTTGGAAATTGGGGTGAGATTTCAGAGAATCCTTTCGGGATAGGAAGCTATGTCTGGACCACTCAGTAGTCATAAGACAAGTTAAGACAAGTTAAGACAAGACTTAACGACTAAGAAAAAACTCAAAGAAGACTAACCAATTGGATCTCCACATCCATGAGTCATCCCTTATGAATTGTATAATCATTCATATTTTAAAGATGAGATAACTGAAGAGAATTTAATTCCTATTAAATAGTTAGAGCTGGGTGATAAAAGGTAAAAAAATAAACTTTGCCCTACACTATACAATTCACAATTGACTTTTGAACTCAGTTTATCCTGGGATCTATAATATCACATATGAAGTCACATGTTGCGGTGTGTGCTAAGCTTTTGGGACTCTGGAGGCAGGTGGAGCAGCCCTGCACAATCACAGCAGAAACCTGTACGTCTCCCAAGAGAGGAAGAAAGGCCAGAGGAGAAAGGAAGATGACAGATTATGTCAAATCCCTGTTCAAACCTCTAAAAGTTGGTTGTGATATGATTGCTCCCAGCAATCTCCTCTTTCAGTTACTTTTAGCTTAGAGGACTCTAGATTATGTATACATAAAAAATTCAAAGAGAGCATGACATATTTTTGGCACTTAAAATAGTAGAACTAGAATGTATTTAACCAGAACATTCAATCTATTCTCATAAATATTCTCATTTTTGCATCGCTGGTGAGTATGGTAAGTGGGAAATTGTTCCTCTAGTAGCTTCAGCACTAATCTACATAGCATGAGGAACTGTAAGAGTATAAGAGGAGTTAATTGTGTGATTCATTTTATTTACTAAATAAAACTTTCCCCAAGCAAATGCGGAAATTATGAAAATCCCAGTAATGAAAGGGAGTTGTCTTATGTTAGAGAATGCTGTGATTCCCGACCCACTGGAAAGCTTTTCCTAAGTAAATGATTCTGTTTTTTTTTCAGTAGAAAAATGTAGATGTTAGGTAGTTAATTTTATTTAACTCTGAAGAACAGAAGTGAGTGGGGTGTCCATCCTCCTCCTATTTTTTGTGTGCACATTTTGGTGACATTAGCATCTTCTGATTGTTGCTCTTTCACTTTGATTTCAAACATATGGTGATATGTGTCAACCATGTCATCTCCACCCTCTGGTTTACCAAGCAGAAGAGGGCCAGCTCATGGCACACGAGCAAGCAGAGAGAGGACAAAAGAGACCCATTAGAAAAGCGTGCCAGCAGATGTGCTTTATTTTCTATTTCTTTGTTAATTTTGAACACAGACTCAGAGCCTGCAGGGCACGGAAACTTTAGAGAAATAGTCAACTGGAAAAAAAGTTTCAATGATAGATTGTGCCTTAAAGCAGTAGTATTTTTCTTTTGTAGGGAAAATAAGAACTTTTAGAAAGATAATTTTTCTTTGGTTTATCCCTCTACCCCCCAATTTGAGTCTGCCTTTAGAAAAATAACTACAATTACGTGCACAAGGCTGGGCGACATTACTCTTTTTCCTTCCTGCTTTGTTAGCTCTCTGGAAAGTTCATGATGTTTTTGATATTTTCCTTTAGTTGCTCTTCTGGCCTGATGTCATGTTTAAAATGATGTTATGCTTCATCTCTTCTGTTAATGTAAAAACTTAATGCAAAGAAATCCAAGGGCCAACTCTTCACTCCATTGGGACAGGATTTAACAACCACCACACCTCCCCTTGGTTGAACTGAAAACCGTGCACCTAGAAGGTTGTTAGATGAAGGGGTCTGGCGGGCACCTAGTGGGACCTCAGTCACTTTGGATGTCATTCAACCGTGCCCCCACTAACATCCTTTTTTTCTTGTCTACTTTCTTATTTATTCCATTTCCATGCTCTTCTCTTTTTTTACCTTTTTCCTCAGCTCTTTTTACAGAACCGTCAGGGATACTCTCAAGATGAGGCAGGGGTTGTGAAGAAATGGACTAAGGAGAGGCAAAATACTCTTTGGACATTGGTGTGGAACGGCCAGGCATGGCCAGTGTTGTTCTGCCTTAGAAGCCAGGGCCAGGGTCCTCGGGCATTATGAAATAAAGCAGCTTAAGATACTCATCTAAGATACCTGACCACCGTGGAAAACTATAGGAATGGAATTTACAAGTCCGGATTTATCCTGGGCTCCCACTAATATTGAAAAAGCAAACACATTCAAAAGTAGCAAATGGTGGTCACATCCAGGTATCAAGACAACTTTCCTCATAATAAAGTAGAATTTCAAAGCTGATTATTTCCCACTAAGACTCCAGGAAGGTGTCAATGTTATATATACCTTGGTCTAGATTTTGAAAGATAGGGCTTTGTGCACAATTTTAGGGAAAAGGATGGGTGACTAAACACAACTGATTAATTTTATGAATGACTCAAGCTTCAAAATGCAAAGAACAGCATTTTTTATGGATTAATTTGGCACATGGGATGCTGCTGTAAACATGTCAATTAAATTTTGGTACTTGAATCCCCTTTCGTGTTTTAATTAAAGCATAAGTACCACGAGCTTATTATCAGTTTGGCACAGAGACTGAATTCATTCAATTTTTCCTTCTGGAAAGAACATTAATTTTTTGGCATTTCTTTGTGAAGAGGTCTAGGGAAGAAAGTACGAGGATGGAATCAGGAATCATAGGTGCTTATTAAGTTGTCTCTGGCTGCTGGGTTTCCAATGCGCTCCAAACGCAGAATGAGTTAAACAGGAATTAAATAGTTTCTATTGCTCGAGTATAACATTACCAGATAAGTAGCTAACACATTTTTTTCTTAAAAGAATCCCTTCCCTTTACTTTTCCCCTTTATACCTTTGGTACTGTGAATGTGATGAGATATATTTCCGCTGTAGTAGAAGGCATCTCCTACTCTAGTTAGTTCTCTCCCTCATCCTTCAAATAAACTCAGATGTCCCCATCCTAAATACCTGCTACTTACCTACCCATTTCTCTCTGGGAAGAGTAGTCCTTATTGGATTGTTCACTCCCTCATCTTCACTCTCTCATTTCTGACTTACTCCTGCCAGTCTGGTTTCTGCTCTTTTGGCATTACTGAACTGCTATCTTTAAGGCCACTGATGATGTCCTAATGACTGAATTGAATGGCCATTTTCTCTTTCCTCATTCTGATTGATTTCTGTGCCTCATTTGATACACCCTTTAGAACCCCTGATTTCTTTTTAAAATTTTTATAAGAGTTTGTGTCAAACTGATGACATGCCAGGAAGTAAGATCTCAAATGCTTCCATCCTAATTTTTTTTAAAATTTCTAAACAAGGAAAGTTTTCCTTCTGGAAATGATTTATACCCTTATTTTCTGTGATATTCCATGCCCTGGCTCTCCTGTCTTTGGATGGAGCTCTCCATTCAAAGGTCCTGGCTATGAATTCATTGTTTCTCACTAACATTCTTAGTGATGACAAAATGGTCCTTGTCTATCTATAGTATTCTATTGTGTATAGCCTATAGAAGTTGCCAAATAAATGTTTCTTGAATTTAATTGTTTAAGATACCAATCTAGCAGACCCCATAAACCAGAGTATTATTCTACTCTGAAGTTATCACTTAGCTTCAAAAATACATTATTTAGGAATTCCTATTACCAATTTTGCCTCTGTACCTAAGCATCTTATGCAGCTGAAGTTAACAAAATACCTCACAATTATGATAAATATGTCTGAGTCAAAAATCATGACACAGAATTGGATAAAGGAAATTTTATAAATGTGAGCAGTACTCTAGGAGATTTATTTATTTTGGATTCAGTCATAATTTTCCAGAATATTTTGATAACTTGTGTGGACATTTAACAAAATATTTGGATTGGTTATCTTCTTGAAAATCTGTCTTGCATATACTCAACTACACTATAATTCTCTTTTAAGTAACTTGTATCTTTTGAAATGTAAAAATAGTATTTTGCACATACATCAAGGTAATCTAAACTATTAGGTGGCCCTTCCCTTCCTTCTTTTGTTTTTAAATAAAGTACTTTCAGAAGCTGAGATTTTTAAAGAAACGTGCCTGCTGTGGCTAGGGCACTGAGATTTAGAATCTCAAATTAAGTCCTGATTTCATTTTGCAACTGTAATTACTAGGTCTCATTTTCCCTCTAGGCATAAGATATTCTTAAAAATTATAAGGCTTTTCCCGTCAGCATATAAGAATAATCATGCTATAAAAATTTTCAGACCAAGATAAGCAAATATTTGAGGACATTATTTGAGGACAAAATGCTAAGCAGTATCGTCCATATTTTCTACATATCCAAAAAAATGACATGGAAACTTACAGAATGAAATGATCTCGAGCACATATATTCTCCAGGGGGGTGTTAGAACATGCTGAGATGGATAATGAGCTGTCATCATGGAAACACTCTAGAGATGTGTGCTGTGAGCCTACAGACCTGAAATAGTACTATTATTATAAAACGCTCTTTTCTGCAATTGTTTCAGTGTTCTGGCTTTCAATCCAGTGCTCTAATCAGCTGTTCAAAGCACTTCTTAGGAATAAAAAAATCTGAATCTTCCTTTTCTTTCTTCATTTCCACAATAACATTAAATATTTTAGCCCAAACCAAATTGGGAAGTATTTTCAGAATGGTTAGGTCAAATTTTTTTTCCTTTTAAGTAAATTTATTATCACTAACAGCTCTTATACTTGAAATTATAATATTCTAATCTAACTTAAAAACGATTGAAATGTAGCATTTTATAATTGGAATGGTTAAAAAATTAAATTTATATAGATATTTAACTGATGTGAAAATAATTTCATTCTATTAGCAAAATTTTTAATAAGTTCTTTGAAAATGTCTAAATTGCAGATCTCTTTACATATTCTAGCTTCTTATTTATATGTATTTAGACTAGGGATTTCCAATATAAATAAAATGTAGTCAATATAAGTAATTAAAAAACTTCTAGTAGCCACATTTTAAAAAGCAAATCAAAACAGGTACAATAAAACGTAATAATATTTTTAAACCTAATATAGTCAAAATATTATTTAAGCCTTAATCAATATAAAATAATTGAGATATACATTTCTGTATTTTTTTTGTACTGTATTTGAAATCTGGTGTAGACTTGACACACATCTTACAGCATATTCAAACTCAGAGTAGACACATTTCAAATGCCCAATAGCCACATGTGGCTAGAAGCTACGGCATGGATCTAGTCAGTCTGGTGGCCTTGTCACCTGCTTTTTAATCTTGCCTTTAACTAAAGCATTTTATGAAATAAATGAGTAAATATGACTGTTTTCTTCTTTTTTATTTCCTTGACAGTCATGTAGGCTCACCTTGATGAGACCTACTTTCTATCTTAAATACATGCTTTTGTAGGCGGATAAAATTAGCACAGTGATTACATACTAATTAACCGATACTGCTCAGAAGAATGATTTGTTACACAAAATGGAAGACATCATTCACAGGACTGTGAGAACTGGAGGATACTTGCCAGAGGAATCCATTCGAAAACTGGTCCTTGTTGGCACTTGTTCTGGATGGGAAAAGGGGGAATTAAAATCGAAACTCATTTATGGCATTTTAAAATTCATCTTTACTTTCTTTTTGTTGATATTATGTCTCACCCCCAATTTGTGCTCATGTTTAATGATTATTTTTTCCTCTAAAATCTATGGGAATTAGTGGACAGATTTACTGTTTTATGTATATGAACATGTCTATAAATGTATTTATTTTACATGCATGTAAAATAGAAAAACCTGAATTCCTTTAGATCAAAATGGAAAAAAGATTACCATTTCCAAATACCAACCTTTGATTCTCATTATAAGAATGCTTATTTGAAAGTAAAGTCAATCCAGAATCCAAAATATATGCAACAAATACAGGTCTTTTAAAATCATGTTATGATATTGTGACATCAACTACGTATTATAATTAAAAGTGGAAAATTGAATCAATGACTGTGATGATTTATGTATACCGGTCCAGATATTTTGATATTTACTCTGGAGAGTTGAACTTATGTATCAGTAATTGAGTTAAATTGGTTTATTTTAGCAATAGAGATTGCTCATGGGAATTATGATGTCTATGCTACATATAAATTCATGAACATGAGTATACAATATTAGAACACACTTTGAAATATATACACACACATATGAAGCACTAATATTATGTCATTACATTTAAAAGATATTTAAAATAAGACCAAATTCTGATTACTTACTAATTAAACTTCGTTTATTTCAAATAGAGTTCTACACTACTCAACAAAGAAATGGAAAGGGAAGCCTCTTGCGGGTGCTGATAGGGTTGGAGTCCTTACGTGTTTGACGTGTTCCCCGCTGGACCCTGCGCAGCTAGTCTCAGGCAGGATGATCACACCTGCCAGGCAGTCTGTGTTTTCACAGCAAAGGCACATTAGTTGTCTAGCAGAATTGTTTTTTTTTTTAAATCTCCATGTTTAGTGTGACTGCTTAGGTCAGGATTATAAATTGAGAAATGTACTTTCATCAAAAGAGAGAGCAGTATCAGGAGACTGCTACCACTAAACACTTCCATTAGTTGTAAACCTGACATTTTATATTATCATAATCTCACTAGGACCTACTTGTCATCCAGCAATTACACTCAGTTTACTTCAGCCCTGATGGTCTCATATTTATTCATGAAAGTTCTTTCAGTTACATCGTCAACTTGTGCTACCAACAAAATGCTTTGACATACTAAATAACTTTCAATCAAGGACTCATTTTAGAGTTTACTTCACACATTATTCCCCCTCCCATTGTCTTCTGTCTGATTCCAGGAGCATTAAGTTTTGAACACTGAATGAAATAAATTTATAAGCTACTGGATTGGATCTAGTTTTTAAAATACGTGTGAAAAATGTGTCCCCAACCTAACTTTTATTTAACTATTTATTACTTAACTCATATCATAGTAACTTTCTTTATTAAAAGGAACCTGTTAGAAAAGTAAATATTACCATAGTTATTTGCAAAGCTACCTGAAAATATTATCTTTGAAATTAGATTTCCAAATTAAAATCTACATATTAAAAATGGCAAAGACAGCTTAACTGAAGTTACTGATCTTCTTTATCAATATATTATAACTATAAAATGATACATAATGTGATATATCAGAAACTCCAGCTGAAAGGCAAATTTGTTACACAGATCAAACCATAATATAAATTATATTAAAGACGGCAATAACGATTTTCCCTTGGGGCAAAGGTATATGAAATTAACCTTCATAGTACAGTTCAGGACATTTTAAATGATAATATTATTAATTTTTCATAGTTTATTTATGATTCTCATGTTAAAGTCACTGGTAAAAGTGTCTTATCATTTGCAGGTCATCTTATTTAAATATTTCAATAGCACTCCAGAGGGCATTTGTGGGTGGTACTTTAAGGCCATCGGACACCAGCAAGGTCCGGGCAGATGAGGCAGGCTTGATGCAGCAGTACTAGACCTGAGGATGTTCCCTAGGAAGGTCAGGTAGCCTTCTATAATTACTCATTGGCTGCCTGTAGCTGTGGCATCCATAAGTTTATCAAAATCTTTCCAAACCTATTGATATGTCCAGTGTGACCATATTAGGTATTTAATTATAAAGGCAAAGAAGACTGGAGACAGGTAGGCTCCAGCAGAAGGCTTGTACAGGATTTGGAGCTCCGGTTGTGAGCACTGTGCATCACGTGCCTCTACCTGGTGTCACGTGGCTGTCCCCATCAGTTTCCACTTAGTGTTTCCAGGGCTGTGCTGTGGGGGATAGTATTTTTATACTGCCTCCTCTTTCCAGGTGGTTCTGCTCTTAGCATGGGAGACTATGCTAACTACAACCCTTGCTCAGTAATGACAAAGAAAGAGCTGCAGAAAAATTGATGGTTTAGAAATTCAACCGCCCATTTGCGATTAGCCATGAATTATATGAGCATTATAATATTGAAACATGAAAATTCCACAATGAACAATGAACCACAAAAGAGCAGAATAAAAACCGTAGATGTGAAAAGCACAATTGTCCATTTTTGATTGGCTACAATTTATAATTTCATGTCAAGTAGAGCACTAAAATACAGTCTGCTCCTCCATTATGCTCTTTAATGGCCTGCGGTTACTTTAGATTGCCACCTTTGGTGTGAGCCTTACCGCCTGTTATGGGGCAATGCTTCCTAATTTATGGAAAGAAAAAGTGATGGTGTGAGCTCCCTTTGAAGAAATTCCAGAGGCATTTCTATTTCAAAGAGGTCATACTCTAAGGCACATTATACCATACGGATCCCTGACGTTTTTATGATCTTACATCTGAATGATGTCTTACTGCAAAGGAGTATGGACATGTTGTACCTCATAAATTGTTTACTTATAATAACTAAGGTTCAATGTGAAGAGAAAAAAGTTTGTAAAACTTCAGTCATAACTCAAGTTGGGTTCATGCCAAGGTGTAGATCCGTGAGGGTAGAGTTTCAGGGAATAGGGATTGTCCTTTGCCTCTTTCTGTTTTCATCTGCTTGTCTGCTCCAGCTTCTGAGCCCACAGTGAGGAGGATGCCCAAGAAATGGCCTCATGAACTGAGGATGAGACAAACCTTGAGAATAAGCCTGGCTTAAAGAAAACTGACGCAACAGGACAAGGTCCTCATTCCTAAATCCCCTTCATTAGCATGATCAAAACTTTATTGTGTAAGATTACAAAGTCATTTTCTTTGGGAAGCGCTCTGTATTCCCTTGCTTGGCAATAAAGAGAGGAGTCATGATATCCATCTACTGCAGTTATGTAGGTATAATTTTTCCTAGGGTCAGGAAGACAGACAAAATTAAGCCCGATTGGTCCTGTGATGATTGTGATGTTGAATCTGACTTATTCTCTGTGATAAGAATAAGAAGTCCATGACATAGTACTTGAATGTATGAAGCCCTGCTCCCTATTTCCTCTACTTAGTTTGCCATTCTCTGTATTTGTACATGTGTACAATTTTCTGCATATGGGAGGAGTTGGCTGGGAGTTTGGCTACTAACAAGTCATCAAGTAAGTCTTTTACTTCAAATTAGGGGTAAAACATGTATGGGCAAAAATTCAGTCCACCAAATAAGGTAACTTGAAAGAAATTATTTATCAGAGTAGGTATTAAAATTTTTATTCATGGTCTGTACACTTAGATATATGCTTTTCTTGGACAGTAATGATGTCTATTTCTTTAATAGATGATGTGCTAAAAGGAAGCCATATAATTTGTCATTCAAATAAGGACAACCTGGTGAGTGAAAGGAGAGCTATTAGTAATTATGCCAGGACAACACAGGGCAGGACTGTTCTAAACAAACTGTACTCTCATGGGTGAGCAGGCCGTTATAAAATGTTTATCATATCAGAAACATGTGGTTGAAGCGATGACGCAATCATAGAGAGAAAGAATGGCAGCAGGAGGAGAGCAGTGAGGGCTTCAAGGTTAGCCATGGTGTAAATAGCCCAACATTCAGAATGTTAGCACACAAACCAAGAAAATGCAAGCCCTTCCTCTTGTGATTGCAGAGAAAATTAAACTCCTTCTTTCATGAGATCCATGGGGAAAGGACAGAGGAGGTAGAAGTATAAAATAGCATGGCTTATGCCGTAAGTCAGCAGGGACTAGTTTCCTTTGCTTTCAATTTTAAAATTGAAAAGTAATGGGGACAGCAAGAAGTCAATTATCAGGAGAGGCTAAAACCAGAAAAAAGTGACATTTATCTAAAAGTCTTGAGTAGAGAAGGGGGTGGGAAGATTTTTGCTCTTTTCTAGGAATTGCTGGTAATGCCAGAGGTTCAATGCTTAAATAATTAACACAAAATTCCAGAAACCCCATTGGTCAAAACTTGTTTTAGGATTTTTTTGGGGAGGTCATAATTCTTTTATATGGAATGACGTTGGTACAAAAAATTCTTTTTGCACAGCTTCTCCAATAAAGACTAACTAGATTTTTTATAATTAAAAGATATTTAATAAGGGACATTCTTTGGATTAAATATGGATTAAATATCAATTTTGCACATGAAATGAGAAATTATTGGTCTAATTATCTAATTGTATTGAAACTATTGTCTATATTTACTACACGATTTCGCATGTTAAAATACTGATATTATTTGCTGTGTTGTGTAATGCAGTCTCTTTCAGAAATTGTTTTCCTATGATTTTCTTTGTCTCCCAATTTCACTGTGAGCTTTGTATGAGCAGAGATGCTTTCTCATGGTTGTCCTCTTGTGGGTGCCCAGCAGAGTTCTAGATACATGCTGAGTGGCTCATGCTTTCTTGTTGATGGATGTGGAGCCTGAAGGTGCCACCTCTGGTTACTCGGCCTGATGTTCTTCCAGGTGGAAGAATCTTCCTTCTTTTTTCAGTCCCACCTCCTCAAGAGAAGGCCTCATGGAGATGGGAGGTGTTTGTCGCTTTCTTCTATAAGCGTGGACTTGTCATGTTCTGTTTCATGGGATACCAGTATCCTATGGTTGTCGTTGTTGGTTTAAAATCACTACATTTCCCCCTAGGAATACATTTTTATTAAGATGTCCTGTGCCTGCACATTAAAATGTCAGCATAATCTAATTATGAGCCAAACGAGGCACAGCAGCATCTACATCACTTGATAAGTTTCCATCATTTGCAGGGGATGGGTGACTTGGATCCAAACACTTCTTGACAGCCGTGATACAACAAACATTTGTAGCTCTGTACAGCAGAAGCTCGTGGGTGGAGGTGCCTCCTTTTATTCAGTTGCTGCAACCCAGTTTTGAATGTGAATTCCAAAAATCTCTGTAGCTTTGGATCTGGTTGCAAAGGAGGATACCATGAGATCACTACAGGCCAGGGAAAATGTCAAAGGACTTGGTTTAGATAGCATTGGTCAGGATTCCTTTCCATTCTTTCCCCGGTCCCACTGATTTTTCACTCAGAAAAAAAGCCCAGGGACACAAAAATACATAGATACATACCTAAATATGATGCATGTGATTCAAAGGAATAAGAAGAGGAGTGGTTCACAATCAATATTTTGAATATGGGCCTTTTGTGTGGATGCATACATCTCATGATCATTTTAAAAAAAAAACTATTTGAGGATGGTGAGAAGTAGACTGAGTTTTCCCCCATTCATTAAAAAAAAAAATTGGGGGGTATTTTCTAAATATTTAAATGAGAGAATGAAACTTTTTCATGGTTGGAAACCGGAAGTGAATGGAGGCCAAGGGCTGGTTCGTTCTTTCAAGACATTTGCATGTCCACAAGCAGAGTAGACAGATCAGCTGTCCAGAGACTAGAGCAAGTGGTACCACGCTTCGCTTTTGTTTTTGTTTCCTTATTCTTCAGGGTAAAGCTTTCTAACCTTGCCATGGGCTCTGTGTTTCATTCACACCCCATTTAGTGTTATGAAATAACGTGATAGAAAAGGATGGGAAAGAAAATGAGCTCGCCCTCTTTTGACTTCCTAAGAATTGTGACCCTGAAAACATTGCTGTAACCTTAGAAACATTAGAGAGATTGGTGATAACAAGAAGTGTGGGGGGGGCGGGGCATGAGCACAGTGGCAGCAGCAGTGACATAGGAGGGGCGCTGATGGGGGCAGAGGGCACAAGGTGGGGAATCAGGATGTTTGTTGTTCCTGTGGCTGTGGAGCCGTGGGGATAAAGTGCTCCCATAGGAAGACTGGAAAAGAAAGGGCAGGTTAAGGTAGACTGGTTTGCTTGGTTTATTACAGGTGAGGAGCAGAAAGGCAATGAACAGAAACAGCATTGCAGCGGCTAGATAAAGAAATCAGAATTCTTTCTGGGTTGAAAAGAAGGTCATGACAATTTCGGCTTGGAAAATAAGGGACACAACAGTATTAGGGCACCATAAAAAGAAGATGGAATAAATACCAACATTGCTTTTGCCCTGGATAATAAAGCCTTGCATTGGTTTGGAAACTGCAAAAGGATGGAAGCAGATGACTAATGAAGGGACAAAAACAGGCAGAAGCATTTCTGGATGCTTCCTAAATGTAATAAAAAAACTGAACAGCCCTGGCCGTTGTGCCTCAGTTGGTTGGAGCGTCATGCCGAGAACCAAAAGGCCACAGGTTCAATTCCTGGTCAGGGCACATGCCGAGGTTGAGGGTTCCATCTCCAGTTGGGTGTGTACAGGTGGCAACCGATTGATGTTTCTCTCTTGTATCTATGTTTTTCTCTCCCCCTCTTTCTTCCTCTCTCTCTCTCTCTCTCTCAAATTAAAGCACTAAACAAGCCACGGGCTCAGAGTGAGATTTTAATCCTGCAATGCATTCCTACCTTCCCTGTTAGAACTTCTGCTGTGTCCTGGTCTCCATTTCTTTATACTCATTCTTTTTATTTCCTCAAACTTGTGAGAGCAAGGCATATTACTCATTTTTTATATCTCCCCACCGTGCCGAGAGTAAAGTATTCAATGAATACTTGGTTACTGAAGCATAAAAGGTATTAAGAACTGTCCTGAAATCTTTTCAATTTTTTTTCAGTTTAATGAACATTAATACTCTGAAATTATACCCTATACTATCTAGCTAAAAGTAACTACTTTCTTCTTACTCTATCACTGCAAAGTCATTCTAACTACATAATCCTTCAAAGGCATTTCAGTTGTTTATCCAAAAGAGGAAGAATGAAATACATAGCCAATTATTTAAAAAATTTGATGAAAATAATTGCTCAATGGCCTGCTGTCCTAACTATTTTACCCACCAAAATTACTTTTACAAAGAGTTGAAGAGGAGGGGGAGAAGGTATTATGTCTACTTTCCCCCTACCAGCTGGGTGCATAATTCTTGGCCCCTGTGCTCATCAAAGAGCAAGCAGACTTGAGCTCCTCTGAGATCACACACAATTTAAAACTTGCTATTCATGCTTCAGTGATAAAGTTGGAAGGAAGACACTGGCAGAACAGCGAATCAAAGGAAATCAGTAGACCGTAAATAAGAGCACCAGGGACCAAACCCATTCCACTAGGCTAGGCTTCTCGATCCATCTACTCATGCTCATATTATGCTGTGTCTTTCCCTCACAGATTGTACATTCGTGCCCTTCAGATTCCTGTCCTCTAACATTTGGCAGAGATGACCTGTTAGAGATGGTGGAAAGAGGCACGAGGAATGCATATGCAATATTAAAAACTTTTGTTGTCTAATATTTATAAAGTGCAATGAAATAATTTCAGAGGACCTTCAAATAGGATGTCAAGTGCACACACGATTAATTTGTTTTATGGCTGAACTTTCAAACGGGCTCCACTGCATTAAATGAGAAGACAAGCCTCTGGTAGAAATAATTGGCACCTGGCTCGGGGCTGCTTTTGAAACCATTCCTTTCATGTTTGTGCGATGGAAGGATTTGGTTAACATTTGCTCCCAGCCCCAAATTCTCCAGTGCCTGCATTCTAGGCTCCAAGAAAAATGTAAACTTCAGACTCAAGATCAGATTAAACATGAAAATCCCCAGCATTTCTTATTATTTGGTGCAAACAAAACTAGCAACCTCTTTCGCCCCCTTCCCCATCCCAAAGACATTCCTCATTTTCCTCAGTGGGAATGGTAAATAAAATTTAACCAAAAGCTATAAGTTTTTTCTAGAGTTGACAGCTTTTTTTTAAAGAGACGTTTAGATCAGCTGGCCCTACTTTTGAGACATAATTTGAATTTCAAAACATAAAATCACACCAGATCATTTCAGCCTCAGTATAACTCCTAGCAGGGCTTCAGCTATTATTCATGTAACCCTTGTTTTAGGTGGCTTTCACTTACGCCTACTTTCATAAATGGCTCTAGATTTCTCGTAGAGCTCATATGGGTCAGGCTTCCTGGGGTCAAAGGCCTCTGTTGAGTCAGGAAAGGAGCTCCTGTGAAGAGCGGGTGGGAAGGGCAGGTTCTGTGGTATGGCCGGAGCAGATAAACTCGTCTGAGGACTGCCTTGATTCTCCCATCGGTCCATGATCTGGAAAGTGAAAAAGAATAGAGAGAATGATGGACATATTCTTTCTTGCTGTTTCCTTTGTTACGTACAACAATCCTCACCTTTAAGTTAGACTTTCTTGCCCTGTGGACTTTTCTCCCATGAAACATTTTAAATCTTTGGTACAAGTGCCTTGAGAGAAAGGATTCTATGTCTGTACAATAAAGTAGCAGTTATAAATACAAGTGGTGCCTGAATTTTGAATGCAAACTTATATAACCTTGTCACCTGTAGGCTGGTAATTTTCAGCAAATCACTTAATCTCTCTGAGTCTGTTTTCCCCCTATAAAATAAAAGTAACATGCATCTCAAGATAATTTACGTGCAAGTACTGAGGAGTATATCGAACTGTTCCTTTTCTAATATGGACCCAATGCATGACACTATTTTTACCGAAACAGAAGAAGATAAAATAGTCTGCACATGTTCTTTTGACAGCTATACATATCCCAACAATCTCCTATTTTTGAACATTCAGTTACTTTCCTTACAGTTTATAATAATATAACCATCCGGGATTTTTGAATTGTTCAAAGTCTTCTATGAAAAAAACACACACAAAAAACACACACCAAAGTCTTCTATGAAGCTTCATTTACATCTGCTAGTTTCTTCTCCCAAATATGGCTGCAGTTACTGCCACCACAATTTATTAAAGGACTATGGGAAACTTGCCAGTTTCCTATGTTCTTTGATACACAGTAACTTCTTTAATCCTCACCACAACCTTGTGAGGCAGATAAAGCAGGGACTAACGGCCTTTTATCAAGGAAAAAGCCAGGTTCACTGAGATCACCTATCGGCACAACCAACTTCACCTTCATTCAATGGTCAACTGATTCCTCATTCAAACTTACCTTCTACTTTCCTGCTTTGTGTAAAAATTAGACTAGGTACTCTCTTGCCTAAAATTCTGCATCGGGTCAGCATGGTCCTCAGGAGAAAGGCCAAACTCCCTAATAGGAAGTTAGTGGCTCACCATGACCCAGATTCTGATATTTTTCTTGTATCTGCTGATGGTCTCTCCTCTCATTTCCTTTGGGTTCTCTCCTGCCTGTGAACCTTTGCACACTTTCTTAATTTCTCCTTCTACCTGCAATGTTCATCATTTTTTCTGCTCTTCCAAATCCCTTCTTCATTTTATCTGGCCAGTAGATTCAGATGAGGCATCTCCTCTTGTAGGAGATGTTCGCTGACCATTCCTGATCTGGTTACATGTCCCTCCTGGGCGTTCTCACAGCACTCTCTCCTACCCTCATACCACTCATCATGCCCAACTGTAATTGCACATCTCCTCAAATAGATCATGTTGGGGGAAGAGCCTGCAGGGGGATGCAGATTTTCTCATTGTTATATTACAACACAGAGTAAGCCAGAAAATGTTTAGTCAAAAAATATGGCCATTTGTTCTTTTTTCAAAACCAGTTTTGATGCACACTATTTTAAGTTTGACAGAATTATAACTCTGTCCCCTGCTGACAGCCCTGCTTTTGTTTTCACGCTGGTTGTATTTTAGTGAGGGCTTCGATGCCAGCTCTCACCTATCAGTGATAAATATTTTAAATATGTGAGACACCATGTCCTGTACAGGTCACAGTGTAGCACAAAGGTTCCTGTGATCTGCTCACCTAACTTGGACCGTGGCAGGGGCCAGGTGAGCCAGCAAATTAGGAAAGAAATGGGTTACCAAACTCCTTTCAACAAATAAGGTTGGTAAGATTGGTGCTATGATCTAAATGTTTGTGTCTCCCCAAAATTCATATGTTGAAATTCTAATGCCCAAGGTGATGGTACTAGGACATGGGGGCTTTGGGAAGTGATTCGTTCATGATGGTGGAGCCCTCACGAATGGGATTATTGTCCTTACAAAGGAAACCCCAGAGCACTCCCTAGTCCCTTCTGCCAGAGAAGGTGACAGAAGAAAGAGGGCCATCTAGGAAGTGAGCTCTCACCAGACACTGAATCTGCAGGTGCCTTGATCTTGGACTTCCCAGTCTCCAGATCTGAGAAAGAAATTTCTGTTGTATGTAAGCCACCCAGTCTATGGTATTTTGTTGTAACAGTCTGAAGGGACTAAGACAAGTGGCTTCATTTTCATTTGTTTTCTATATGTGCCACCGACAAAGATTTCATTTGAATAAAGTTTCTACAGCTAACAAAGATGTAAAACCCTTAGTTGAGTTTAATTTCCTAATTTTAAAAATAATCTCTAGGACTGCAGAGAGGTCCAGTAGCTGTCAGTGACAGACCCTGGGTCAGAACCATATATGACTGAATGCTTTTTTACATAATAATACATTGAAAAGAATAATTGGTAAATTTGCTTAGAGTTTTAGATAATTATCTACCTTTTGCCCCCATTTAGTAAAAATCTTTAAATCCAAAAGTCAGAATTCATTTGATAGTAAAATTCATTGAGGATGCTATTCTGGGTTCCCTTGGTCATCCATTCTGGTTGTCTTTGCCATGATGGGAAGACCCACATTTGTGGTTAAAGGCATATTCTTTTTTAGTTTTCACTTTGACCTTAGGCACCACTTGATGCATTCTGGCTGTGACTTCCCCCCTCCAGTCCCCAAATATAAAATATTAAACTCTAAAATGTAAATAGATTAGAAACGTGGTCTGAGAAGCTGTAGCATCACACTTGTCATCATAGAGAACTCTTTAGCTCTTTCTCCCATCTTTCAGTCAGGGCTAGCCGAGGCGCACAGAGGTTTTGCTGGTATATGTATTGTTCATGTACAGTCAATGCAGCAAACATGCTTCAGGTGAAATATTAGCATTTGTAAAATAATTCTTAAAACTACAGAACAAATAATGCCTTGGGCACTGTTTGGGAAAGCTTCTGTGGCAGATTGACAAATTTTACAATTTCGTTAGCAGAGAGATGGGGGAATTAGTCAAGAGTCCAGTTGTAAAGCATTCACAACATCTTGCTGTGACATTCATCAACCCTCAAGTCACTCAGCCAGGGTTCTTAAAAGACTGAAGAGCAGAAAATCACCATGCCTATGAAATTATAGAAACAGCAGACTTACAGTCCTACAGCCCAACCCCCAAATTGAGTTATTAGTTGCCTGCCACACAGAAGGTCACCCCTGCTCACTGGGGCTGTGGTGCTGAGCTGACTATCTTTTGAAGGGTGCTCTCCGTTGACTTCTCCCTACTTTCTTAGACAACCTGGTCTCTGGACTTTTGCTTTCCAGCTGGGACTCTCTGTGCTCACTGTTCCTCTCAACCTTCATGAACCTAGATTCTCATCCTGTCCTCTTGCCCAGGTCATGGCCTCACTTGCTCTTCCTGGCAGTAGCCTGTCTGGAGCTGTGTTAGTGGCCAGGCTTCCTCTCAATAAGGCTTCTGCTTGGGCCTTGTCCAATCCCAGTGGGGTCCATACTTAAGCTATTTATAGACATCTCACTAGGGTAAGGAAAAATGGAAAGAGCTGTTTTCTGTATCTGGGAGAAGACTTTTATCTCTGCTGCCCTTGGTGAATGAATGAATGCCTGGCTGTATGAGACAGTGGTCACATAAATATCAGTGGACAGAGTAGACATACAGTCGATAACAGGGCATCAAACAGTAGAATGAAAAAAACCAATCATGGTGGGGTACTTTTTAAAACCCTACCTTCTGATTCTAGGGTGCACACTGGAGGAGAGGGCTTGTGAGAAAGTGCAGGTCCTCCTCCAAAACTCATGAAATACTCTGTTTGCTTCTTGTAGAAGCTGGGGTAGTCTAAACATACCTACTCACTATTTTAGGGCAGGGCTTGGAGATGAAGGCATTTGGCTTGATTTTGTATCTGAAGTACGAACTTGGATCCCTTCAAGGTAAAGAGAACAAGAAGTCACTACAATTAGTGTATTACTTGTTAGATGGGAAGTGGCTATCTTGATGTGGATTGGTTTAAGATGTGGATCAGTAGGACAGAGAGTTGAGTGACACAGGACCAGGAGGAGGAGAGAGTGTATAAATCTATATACTATGTGCATATATTTATATCTTTGTTTAAATGAATACTTATCAAACTATGTTCTTTCATAAAGTGATTAAATCGTTGAGTTTATGCATAAAAGGTCTGATGTATAGGATGACTGTAGTTTACACTTAGAACTCATCATGTAGAGGCTCTGCTTTAAGCACCTTACATGGATTAACTAGTATACTTCACAACTATCACAAGTGGGGTATTATTATTGTCCCCCATTGTACAGATCTAGAGCTTGAGATACTGTGAGCTTAAGCAGCACGTTGTAGGTCACAGAGCTAGAAGCAAAATTTGCACCTAGGCAGGATGCCTTGAAAGCCAATACCCTAAATCACCTACTATACTGACCCTTATTATAGTCCTCAGTCTAAAGAACTTCTGACAGTTACATAGGGGACATTAAATGGATGGCTAATCTAGCTTCACTCAGCCTAGAACCTAAAAATCCAAGCTTTAACTTTTGTATGGTGTATGGGTTCAGGATTAATTATAAATTGGGTTCTATAAAACCTTTTTTGGAATTATTGACTATGGATGTAATTACTTAATGACAGAAAATGCTGTAATTATGCCAAATGGCATAATTTGTATAAAAGGGGTACATATAAGAAAATCACTAAATTGCATAATTGTAGCACCATGATGAGGTTGCAAGGTTTCTTGTTACATTAGATAAAGGTGTGTATAACCAAGGAGTACAGATTTAAACTTGGTGATGAAAGGAAGGAATTACTTAGATTTCAGCCAAGATAAAACAAATTTCATTTTAAACATTTTAAAATACATCTTTCAAAATCATATCATCACTAAATGGTTTACTAAGCCCCAATAGGTCTGGTTTTTTCAATTGATATTCTCTGTGGCCAGAGGAGCCAAATCCAAAACAAGGACACGCTTGGTGAGGATGCTCTGTGGCCCTGACACTGTCAGTTCCTCCTTCCAGCTCGGGGCTGCCTCGTCTCTCTTTGAGAGAAGCCTAGAGCTCAGGCATATTAGGGGCTCAACAACACTTTATTTTCACATCTTCAAACCATTTTCAAGACATGTTATTTAATTAAGCCAGTTATTACACTTGAAAAGTATGCAAAATTATATTATCTCCATTTCTAAAATGACAAAATCAAGCAGTTAAATATTCCCTCAGTAAAAGAAATAAAAGAAGCATAAAATTAACTCAAGAATTCCCTACTCACTGGCCACCCTAGGGGCACTTTCTTCAGAGTTGATTACTGTCAGAGGTAAGAGAAGAAGTAGGTAGAGGAAGTGATTCCCTGAGTGTCTTTGGACACGAATCACGTCTAGTCCTGGGTTTTACACAGTCCAGTCAGGGTATTCTAACACGTAAAACGGGACCCCGGAAAACCAGTCCAAGCTTTTGGGACTTGGACAATTACTAGTTTCAATCTGATAGCAAATAAAGATCATTTCTGATTGCAAAGTCAACTTGTTAACCAAGCCTTACACAAAGATTACCGAGTCCATCAGCCTTCTACACTGGCATGGTAGATCACCAGTGTCTGAAGAAGATTCAGAAGTACGCTTTTGAGTGATTGTCAGGTTTGGGCACACACACACACACACACACACACACACACACACACACACACACACACTTAGCTCTGTGTACATTAAAATGTAAATATAAATATAGAAATATATACAGAGCTAAATTTCTTCTGGAACCAATTTAATTTGCAGGTCAAGATCTTTGGGCCTGTACTTTGCATTGTTTCTAAAAATTTCATGTTATCAAGATGATAGTATTTCTGACGGGGGTGAAAGGGTTTCTAAAGTACTTTCAGTACACTGTAATGAGTAGTGTTTATGCTCATTTTGTAAGTATACTTATTAAAAAACAGGCAGCAATGCCTTTATAGGAAAATAAGATGAACTATTTGTATTTGTGGGGCAAATACAAGACATAGGGACACAGATTTGTTTTGACATCACAGAATCTCTGAAGCTGAAGAGATTTTGAGGTCACCCAATCACCAACTCTTGCTTAATGGGATTATAATAATAACTAGAAATAAAGGAAGAAGCATAATAATTCCAACTTACAGGCTTTGGAGATTTCCATGGAGAAAAGAAACCTGTAATAAAGAAAACAATATTTGAACTTTGAAAATATACCCTACTACCACTTATGGGTGGCATGATATTAAAATAACCGTGAGTCACTTTAAATTAGTTAACAGCAAACAATAATAACCACAAAAAATTCTAACTTTTATAGGACTGACTGTTCTCCCACTGAGATCTTCTCTAGAGCAGATATCTATTTTATTATCCTAACACCTTAGTGTGAGCACAATGTTCTGCATGAAGAAGCAGCTCAAAGTGTTTGTTAATTGACTCAGCCATGTAACATCAAAGCCATCTTTTTTTCAACTTATTGAGTCCTTTCTATTACCACAATTTGTATGGCAATTGGACTGACTCTGTGATCCAAATGACCATTAAGGTAATTAAAAGTAAAGGACAGATTAATTCCCTTTTCTTTTTTCCTTCATTATTATTTTATCATATGGTATTAGTTTAAAAAAATGGTAGTAAAAACATAATGGAAGTAGTGGTGGAGAAGGCGGCTATATATTGGCCCTAGCAAGCCAAAACGTAATCTATGTACAAAAGTACTTTCTTTTCATATCATATCTTCCTTCTTTCAAAAAAGTTCACTCACTGTAATGTTAGGTGGCAAATGATAAAATGCACAATAATAAATGACATACTAAAACTATGTCACGTACATATAGTATGTTATCATAAAACTTGGAATTGTACAAAATGGGAATATTTGAAAACTATAACCCATTTACAGGAAATGCCTACAGAAATCTGAACATGTAATTATCTAGATGCAGAAGCAATCCAATGCAGGCAATACATAAATACTGCTAATTGCATCTCAATGCACTATTGTGAAGAACTTATGCTTCATTTTATGAAAAGAGTGAAAGTTAATAATCCACCATGTCTCTTAGCTTTCCTTGGATTTATTTATTTATTTATTTTCAATCCTTACCTGACAATATGCTTTTATTAATTTTAGAGAGAGAGGAAGGGAGAGAGAAAAACATTGATGTGAGAGAGAAACATCAATTGATTGCCTCTCCTACGCACCCGACTGGGGATCAAACCCATAACTAGGTATATGCCCTGACTGGCAATTGAAGCAGCATCCTTTAAGTGTATGGGATGATGCTCCAACCAACTGAGCCACCTGGCCAAGGCCAGAGTTAAATTTAAAATTAAAGTGTAATAGCCATCTTACTAATGAGATTGGTAGAATTAGTTCACTTTCTCACATACTCTGTATGTTCTTACCTCTCTTTCCAACTAATGAAAAAAAAATTCTGTTCAAAGTCTGGTTTGATTAATTTAATTACAAGGATTTAATCACATCCTTTTTGGTAATATCTTAGAGTAAAAATTATAGATAAATAAATACATTAATCACCTTTGATTCATTCTATAAAATGACAATTAAAGCCATTTGACTACTAACTATAAAGTGAAAAGTTTTGTAATTTATTGGACAATTACACATTATTTTCTGCAAAGGATAACATTTATTTGCTGTTTTATGGAATTGCCAGTAACGGTTCTTTTGAAAAATGACACTATTTATACATCCTCACAATGCTAAAACATTCAATTGTTTCTTCTACTTTCTTTTTGTTATCACCTCCCTGGAGGGCCCGACAGGTTTTGAGTGTTACTATTTTACATTTGTTCTGGGCTGGGAGTTTCTTAGACTTTGATATAGATGTATTGAAAATGGTTCCTCTATTATGGAGCTCTCATCTCCAGTTAGGGCATTATCTTAAAAGATGATTATTTCTTCCACAGAATATGTGTAATCATCTGCGCCCTCCTTAGCAGTCAGGGTTCAGCAGAACTAAAATGGGCTAAAGGGACACTGGTTAAGATCAGACGAGGAGAGAGGGAGGTTTAATTTGACCAGCTGTCATCATAGGCACTTTGGTTTCCAGTTCTTTTAAGGCTGTTTCATTCCGTCTAACCTCATGCCATTGGCATCACCCAGGACTCCTTCACCGTGCCCATTATGGCAGTTTTTGGAGTCCTTCTAATGCTGAGTTTTGCCAAAGAGGCTTTTTTTCTGAGTCATTGTCAAAAAAAAAAAAAAAAAAAGCTGCTTGCTGTGGAGCAAGTAATTTTAAGTAGTAAGAAATTGTATCAGAATAGATTTCTTTAAATATAAATAACTTATGTGATCCTTCGTGTTTCTCTGGAGAAGTATCAGTCATGCTATAAACATTTAAATTATGATGAATAGAAAACATCTATTTCGGATATACTCAATTTGGCCTTATTAAGCCAGAAGGTCAAGTTTTCTACATGATTAAACTTCAATTTTCTGCTCAACTTCATTGGAAGAGCTACGGAAATACTGTAATAGTGTGGGTCAAACTATTATATATTATAAATGTGCAATAATTTTTGTAGGGATGGCTCCTCTAGGAGTATATTCCAATCAACATTAAAATCTCCTAAACAAAATAAAAAATTTTAAATCCTTATTTCTGCAGTTTTTCTTTTTCTGAAATCACTCTGGTTGCAGATAGGTCACAAAAGCAAGATCGGCTTGGTTTGTTGGGACAATTATTTTTGGGCTCCTCACCACCCATCTTCATAGGAAACAGGAAGAGGGATCTAGTTATCTTCTTCTTAAGCCTTTCAGAGCTAACAGTCTCTTTATAAAACTAAGTTCAGAGAAAAAGAGTTTTTTTAAAAATAAAATAATAGCTCCTTTATGTTTTAGTTTATTTCTGGCCTTTGTTTTCCCTACTTCTAAACTTCTTTATAGTGGCCCATGTTTTCCATACTGATCATCGATTGGTGTGGATACAAATATAAAGACATTAATCCTGATTCTTAAGACAACAAAAGTTGTCTTGAGGTATAGTTATAAGCTAATTGAAACATGAGCAGAACATTAAAGGAAAAAATAAAATGGAAATATTTGGATGCAGCTAATAAGAACATTTAGATGCATTTAATAAAAAAGGATAAAATTGGCCCTGGCCAGTTTGGTGTATGATAGTCTCATAGACCAAAAGTGGGTTTAATTCCAGAGTAGGGCAGAGACTAGGTTACAGGTCCCATCCCTGGTCTGGGAGTGTACGGGAGGCAACTGTTCTATGTTTCTTTCTCATCTCTCTCTCTCTCTCTCTCTCTCTCTCTCTCTCTCTCTCTCTCTCTCTCTTTCTCTCTCTCATCAATAAAGACATACCCTCAAGTGAGCATTTAAAATAAAAAAGCACAAACTTGAATTAGATTTCTAAAAATCTGTCTTCTTTAGAACCCAAAATAAAACTAAAATATATTTTTAAATTCTGCACCTAAAAGCACAGTGAGATGGGTAGGGAAACAGCAGCACAATGCAAATAGACAAAAAATGGAGAAAACAACAATGAGTTCATGTTGAAATTTCAGTTCTACATGTCATCTAAATACAATTTTTAATAAACTATAAGAACATGGTTGCAAGATATATTATAAAGTACCCAGTTAAATTTGATTTTCAGATACTGAATAATTTTTTAGTATAAGTATGTCTTATATACTATACTAGAGGCCTGATGCACAAAATTCGTGCAAGAGTAGGCCTTCCTTCCCCTGGCTGCTGGCACCGGCTTCCCTCTGGCACCGGGACCTGGGATTCCCTTGCAGCTCTGGCTTCGTCTGGAAGACACCCGGAAGGATGTCTGGTCTAATTAGCATATTATGCTTTTATTATTATAGATGAGACATATTGCAATAGGAGGTACATAAACATTTAAAAAATATATATTTTATTGATTTTTTACAGAGAGGAAGGGAGAGGGATAGGGAGTCAGAAACATCGATGAGAGAGAAACATCGATCAGCTGCCTCCTGCATACCCCCCACTGGGGATGTGCCTGCAACCAAGGTACATGCCCTTGACCAGAATTGAACCTGGGACCCTTTAGTCCGCAGGACGACGCTCTATCCACTGAGCCAAACTGGTTAGGGCAACATTTTTTATCTGAAATGAATTTAACTGGAAATTCTGTATTCTAATTTGCTAAATATGACTACCTATTCAGGTAACATTTTATATGTCCCGGGCAATGATTTAAAAATAAAAACACTGGCCCTGGCTGTTTTGGCTGAGTGGATAGAGTGTCAGCCTGCGGACGGAAGGGTCCCGGGTTTGATTTTGGTCAAGGGCACATGCCTGGGCTGTGGGCTCAATCCCCGGTATGGGGCATGCAGGAGGCAGCTGATCGATGATTCTCTCATCATTGATGTTTCTATCTCTCTCTCCCATTCCCTTCCTCTCTGAAATCAATAAAAATATATATAAAAAATAAATAAAAACACCATGTCCCAGGCAACCATTTGAAAATAAAAACACAATAGTAATATCTCTCGCAGATAATATTCATTCAATTCAGTAAAATAAAAAAACAAAACACAAAACAAAACCCAGAAAATATTTAATATTCCCTTTTCTTACACCCTTCCATTGTTTGATTGCCCGGAATCCTGCTTCAGAGAAACCTGAGAACATTCCCCCTGCTAACCACACCGTTGGGTTGTGCTGGTTGCCTGTTCATCAGTAGCTTTAACTAAGATCTCACTTCACAAAGGCCCATTTTCAAATTGCTGATGACTGTTCAGTAATGTTGCTTTATCCCAACAGGAATGTTCCACAGAGTAGCTCTTTTCAGAATCTACTTCTTCTGACACATCATATCCAAAATGAAAAAATATCAATGTATTTACAGTAGCTTTGAAGGGAGAGCCTCTTTCTAGCATGCCTTTGTGAGTTATTTTCCAAGAATTTTTATTACTATTATTTACTTACACCAGGCAACAAAATAATGAACTTCCTTAAAATCAGTCCGATTCCAATAAGGGATCAAAATGCAATGAAGAGCAATTTAATTTGAGTCCCATGATGATCAACTTGGAATAACACCAAGGCGGTTTTTCAAGATTTCTAAGAGTTTCCCCAAACAGAACTAAATCTTTCAACATGCCTCTATACTCCACTTTGATGCCGTTGTAATAACCTGGCTATTATTTAACAGGGAAGGAG